CCCAGGAATGGCAAAGGCCTTGAAGACTGTGGCTTCCTTGCTCTGTCCTTTCACTGCTGGTTTTTTCCCCACTTCTGTATTCTCTTTCACACCTCTTTTTTTTTTACTTTCTACTCTTTTATCTCTCTTTTTTTATTTTAATGCTGGATTTATACAGTTTGTTGCGGTACCAAGTCCGCTGTACCATCGTGATTGTTCACATCTTTTCATTATTATTAAAATGGTACTATGTCACAATCTTTTGCTTTCTCAGAAAATCCCGTGAACAAATTGAACATTAAAAAAAAGAAATATCCCGTCAAGCCCACCAATAGTAAATAAGATGTTTAAGCTCACCCTGGAGAGCAGCGATTATCGGTAGCCCTGAGACATTTCTCATTTCCCCGACCACACATGACTAAATCACGGTCATTATATTTCTTTTACATTAAGTGCTTTGAGTGGAGTGTCCAGAAAAGCGCTATATAAGTGTAAGCAATTATTATTATTATTATTATTATTATTATTATTAAGGGGTCGGAGCGGAAACCACGATGATTACGGTTCATGCAGTATCTCCGTGGAGTATCTCCTGTTCAGAAACTTTCGCTCCACCTGTCGGTTTGTTTCCTGCTTCCTGCGTCTCTCCGGAGCGCCGCCGCCCGCACTCGCTGCGCGGCCAGCCGTGAGACCTGTGCCGGACCGCCGGCTGACCGCGCACCGAGCGCCTCGGCTCCCCCCTGCGGCGAACTGTAGCCGTTTCACCGGCCCCACTTCGGAAACCGACACACGGTCACCGAGTGAAACGCGACGCTCGGGGGGGCTGCGGTCTGTCAACGGGGGGAGCGGCCATCAGTAGCCAAAACTTTCCTTTTTATACTCGTCATGTGAAATTCCCAGAAGCTATTTTGCACAGAACTCACAGTATTTATAACTATAATAGTATCACTGCCTGCACCCTGGGGCAGTGTGGCACTTTCTGAGAATTTGCATGATAAACACTGACATTCTAGAATATCAATAACAATATTAGGTAACATTTCAACACAACGCTATTAATTAATAATGCACCACTTGTATTACACAACAACTTTTCCCTCTGTTGCCTGCAGGGTTTTGGGGGTGGCGACTTTCACAGCTGGTATCTTTCCACTACCTTCTTCCAGTGCGAAGAGAAGCTGTGGAGCCATTTAATTTAATTCCGCATTTAATTAGTGTTTATCCACGCTGTGGAACAAACAGATCAAACAAAGCCTGCCTCTGCAGTCTGCATCTGGAGCTAAACCGACTGAACTCTTGACCCTCAGTCAGTTCGCTCAACAGATGAACAGAACAGTCCTTTCCTCATGATTCTTTTAGTCTCTCCCCAGCTCCTGTATGGTATCTCCACCTCACAAAAGTGTCACAAAATACACATAAAAGCCTCAGAAACCCACGAAGCTAAGGGAACCAGACCTGTGAAGCACTGGTGAGGGACAGCCTGGTACTGAGATGTGGTCGTGTGCTCAGAACACAATTTTATTGGAAATGCTATATTCCAATATACTGTTCAGCCAAGTCCAAACAATTTAAAATAAGTGTCATTTTGGTGCCGTTCTTTTGCTCTTAATGGCTTCTTCCTCACTCACCTTCATGTTCTTGAAAATGCTCTTCTTCCTCCGCACATTCGGAGGGTCCGTCTGCAGAGCATGAAGATAAAACCTGAAGTTAGTCTCGTCAGAGTGATGAAGAAACTCAAGCACTCGTCGAAAGTCAAGAACGCTTTCCAAGCACTTTGAAATGACACGATTGACACAGCTCACAGCTCGATCAACTTGGAAGATACCTGGTGCTCGTAAGCAAGTAAAACTTCAGCAGGGACGGGAATTGGATGGTCTGTTTGTAAGCAAAGTGTTGAGAGGTTTAACTGCTGCAAAGGCTTGTTTGCCTGTAAGAACAGGGCCTTCCATTCTCACCTTGTTCAAACAAACACTGCTCTTGTTCCTTCACACTGCAGTGCTGCAAGGAGTCACAGTGCATTTCAGCAAAGATACGAAACGAGTTTTAACGGACTACAGAAAAGGCCATTTCCTTAGAATAGACAGAATCATAGAAAAGTGCCTTCTCCTGTAGTGCTCTGCACCCAAAGATTTACAACCAGTTTATACTCCAGATCACCTCTCTTGGGTACTATAGGTTTAGTATTTAGGAGAGAGACTATTGCATATGCATTAAAACAAAATACATAGTATTGCATTTTGGGGCATCCTTATTCAGCCTTCCAATGGCTCCAAAATGTCACATACTGTTCTGTAAACACAACTCATGTCCGTCTTCCAGAGCATCCGGATAAAATCCTACAACATAACGAGCCCTATCTCAAATGCGCGCTAACCTTTTCCAGCTCATCATAGCCCAAAGACAGCAGCAGATGAGACAGCCTGGCAGCTGGAAGCCTTCGCTTTCCTGCTTTTCAACCTGCTTCCTGACCAACTAACTGTCTTCCAGCGACTCATCTGATGACTGAGGGCAGCAGGTCTTTCACTACAGCATTCTGCGGCAAGCATTCCAGACAGGACCCTCCATCTTCTCTGGCCCGCCTGTCCGCTCAAAGGCTGGAAAACAATACCTTCTTACTCACCACGTCAGTGAGGTCTTCAGCGACCTTCGCTTGCTGTTCTTTCAAAACCAGCAGCATTAACCTGCTTAGCAGGAAGGCCTAAAAAAAAATAAAAAGCCAAGAGTGTCTTCATAAACCATGGCATAGCATACCACGACACTGAAGGTCTACAGTTTCTTGCAGATTTGCTTTCATTCTAAAGATTTAATTTTTTTTTAACGTGCGTGGCTGTGACCAGCACTTTCCCATTTCAGCTATATATCCTTACTGTCAATGGTCACCTAACTATTAGTGTCTAAATTTGCTAAAGGACTGAAAGAAAACATTCGGGAATGACAGATTGCAGACAGCATTTTCAGACTACTTTTCACAACCCAGTAAGAGCTAATACTCCAGACACCACTCTCCATTTGTCACGTCGGTGAAAACAAACCAGATCTCCATCAATGACACAGATTCATGCCAATTAATCCAACTGCTTTCCAACCAGTAAGTCAAGCGAAGTACTTTCTGGTAAGATACGCATTTGCCTGGAGTTTTGAGATAAAGTATTAGTACACTAAACAGAACAGTACTGCATTATGTCACATTAGAGGATTACAAAAACATTCAAACTAGGAAAAAGCAGTGCAGAACTACCGTGTCAAAAAAGTACAAGTATTATGGACAATCCCGTTTGACAAAATTGTCAAATATTATTAGACAATAACTTATAATAATATGACTATTATTTATTCAAATTCTAATCCCCAATTCTTATTTTTAACCCCTTTCACCTTTGCTCCATTCTTTGACCCTTGTCTGAACTGAAGACCTGGACCATGGAAACAGGTCCAGGACCAACTGAACTGACCACTTGAAAGCTCACAGGCTGCAAGCTCCACAGTTACTCAAACGCCCCCAAGCCAAAGGCACGAACCCAGCGGGCCTCTTCAGAAGCCACAGCTCAAGAGGAACCTGAGGACACAGGCAGAGACGGCGTGGACGAGCAGTCAAACCCACGAACGGGACACGCTTCTTTCCACCAAGGCTTGGGGGAAATCCGGACCCCGCTGCCGAGCCGTGCCGCTGAGGCCGATGTATCTTCGGTTTTGTTACAAGAAACGACAGGACGAGGCGCCTGCATCAATCGGCTCTGGATTTCCAGAGGGGCAAAAATGGCCCCCCCTCTCGTTCCCCCCCCCCTTTCTTGTGCTCTCGTGTCGAGGACAGCGATGGCAGGGAGCTCGTGCAGCAGACTGAGGGGTTCATGCCCGCCACAGCAGCACGCTTCCTCAGTGCCTGGCTGGCCAAGCCCGGGCACGAAACTGCAGGGCGGCCCAGGCGGCTTCCACCAGCCCAACGAGGAAGGTCCCTCAAACACTGTTATCATCACCAGCGTCTCTGCACGTGGTGAGGGAATTCCCGTAAACACGAAGAATCGAGGCAGCAGGAACAAGGGGAACCTCTCTGAGGAACTGTGGTTTTAAAAGAAATCGTGTACCAGGCACAGGAACGATCGGGATGCCCCCAAACAAGACGGATACCTGTTTAGTGTGAAGAGTAATGCTTTTCCACACGTCATCAAAGGTGTACTCGAAGCTCAGGCTCAGCCCCACGGCGTCATCTTGACTCGATCTTGACTATTAAAAAAAAAAAAACAGGACTTTATGAAAAGGGTGGAACAGGACAAGCGTTTTTATTTCTTTAAACTGTGTACATACACTGTACATCCAGCTGAGAGAAAGAGATGAATTTGAATTTGAAATTGATTGCAGGCTGAATAACACTGCATCCCCACCAAAACCAATTTTTGGTGAAGGAGGAGCATGCAACCCTCAAAAATATTGGAATTAAGAGTACAAAATGTGCTTACAAATCCCCCGAAATGTGTTAGAGTGAATCTAAGAACTGCAGCATTTTTAATAAATTCTGTAGATGTCAGCAGTCTAAAATGCACGTGGTCATAAACTCTTATTAAATAAAGTGCAATTTCGTAAGTATTTTTGTATAGCACAAATTCTGATGAGCAAACAGCAAGGAGATGCAAATGGGGAACTTTAGAAACATGGAACAGTCTGCAAACTGGTGAAAAAATGCTAATGTCATTTATCTGAAGTGTTGTTACAGAAAGGGAACAAACTTGGCCCGTACAACCAGTCATCTTCCTGGATCCTCGCACGTCACAAACAGAAACCGAAACCGAAAGGACACAACCCTGTGGTCAATTGGGATCAATTCATTTTCAGATATTCAGTATTCCTTGACAATGCACCAACAGTTCCTTTTCATAAAACATCAATAAAGAGAAGAATAACTGCACAATTCAAAATAGGCCTGTGCTAAACATTGTGTTAAAAAGAATGACCAGGTTGTCATCAGATTAAAAACACACGATTGGAGATGTGACTGTAATAAGTAATTTATCTTAAATTTAATCTGAAGTCATTTTGAAATGTCACTTAACTGACTTTGGGCATTATTGATTATTAAATTGCGTTTTTTCCACGTGTTGCGTATTTGAAGGTAATTTTTAAGATAGTAACAGCTTATTTTGAGTGTATAGTTCCATTGCTCTTTTAAAACAGATTTGTCTTAGCATGCACCTCCTTGAAGTACTGGTTGAGCACATGTATTGTTTTAATAAAGTATCAATAAATATTCTTATGAACCAATGTACAGAAATTAAAATGACTAATAAAAACCACTGCCACCTTGTGCTGCCATATCGTATATGTCAGAGCCTGTATTTTCCCAATCAAATGCTGTACTGTAACGATTTCATCTTAAATTCAGCTCCATATTATCTGTAATGTACAATCAGTGAATTTAACTCCAGTAAACCGCAAGAGTCAACATCGTTTTATGCATCTTGCTTGCTTACGACAAGCTAAGGGAATCGTGAATGCATTAATGAATCCATGAAAATGCAGTATATGCTTAAATAAAATGACCTACTGTATCCTGGAACACTAAAATCCACGGCCTGGTCATAACATTTAACACAACTGTATACTCACCAACATGCTGACACACCAGGACTTCATCCGATTGATCTCGAAGTGCTCTTCTCTTGTCTGGTTGCCAGGCAACGTGATGCAACAGTGCAGGCCTGGATGCCCCACCCACACGGCGGCAGGGCAGCTGGGCTCAGGGTGGTCGCAGGTGCAGGGGTCTAACTGGATGTGGCCGTAGAACCTGAGGCGCTGGGCAGCCTGCAGGAACTGAAGGGGAACGCCGGTGAACAGAGAGGGGCGAGGGGGGCGCAGACTGGAATCAGAGGCAGCATGGGCCGAGCTTGGCTTTAGCTCTGCTACAGGGCCCAAGGAGAGTGCAGAGGCAGCGATTTATTATTCTAAGACACGCAGGAGCAGGAGGGGCGCATGATCAGCGGCTCTTCGTCCCTCTTGCACCTGGAAACGAATATTGATCCTTCAGCCGCCCACAGTCAAGAGAGGGGCTCACCCCTCTCACCCCTGAAACACGCAACAGGGCAACTGCGCTGTCTGAAGAAACGGCCCCTGAGCCTTCACGTCAAGAGCCGCTGATCTTGATCACCAGCGCCTGGTTACAGAGAATACAGAAAGGCCTGATCTCCGGGGCGTCGGCGGGGGTGCGAGCGCACTCCTGCGGTGTACCTCTCTCTTCCGGCCCGCCTCCAGCAGAGCCCCCAGTGTCCTGCGCTGCTCCTCCGTGGGCCGACTCCACCCCCTCTCCAGGTCAGCAGCAGCCTGGAGACGAGTACGGAAGCATCGCTCTAGACGGCTGCCTGGACAACCCTCGTTCTGCGCCCCCCCCCCGATTCCCAGAATCCTCGATTCCGGGCTCGTCCCAGAGAGAGGGCAGACTGGCTCGTCCTCTCCCTGGCTCTGGCCTCAGGACGGTCCTCCCCCACCAGCCCAAGCGCCCGGACCTCAGCTCACCTGCGCACAAAGGAGACTCAGGCCACAGCTGCTCTGCAGGACCTCCGCGTCCACGGACGTGTCCAGGTAGCTGCAAACACACAAGAATAAAACCGCTTCCCGGCAGGATAGAGACTAGCATCATCAGGAATCAGCATCATCATGTGTGCAGTAATAAACCAGGGAGGAACAACAGTGCAGTACACAGGCCCGAATCAAAAGAGTCTCTCATTTCTGTCCATTTTCGTGCAGTGGAAACATGTTCCAGGAAATGAACAAGAGGAGATGTACTCCACATCAAACCCAGACGTTTTATATAATGTAATTAATGTTATAATGTAATGTAATTCCAGGCTAATTTAAAAATAATTGCCCAGGCAGGTGGAGATCATGCATTTGGCCCATTTGTCTGCCAAGGGGCCCAGCAAGCGAGTGTCCTTGCCTTACCTAGAAAGTAATCTGCTTGAGAAGGCATCAATTAAAAAAAGGTTCCGATTGTGATCTGCAGGTTGCTAATTCCACGGCACTTACAGAATACTGCATGTTTCCGAGTTTTCACCCTTGACATTTTAATCCAATTCAGATCCCTTCCGCAAGATATTACAAAGAAAAGTACCAGACTGGCAATCATTAAAAAAAAATGTAACCAGACCAACTCTGGTTATTTAACACCATTTAACCTCAAATGGATACACTGCAATACAAGAAAGCAGATCTCTCCAGGTAAGAGATTAATATTAGGATTCGGATCACAAACGTCAAGTCTGCTGTACTTAAAGAGATCAGTCTTCAACTACAGTAGTGCTTGATCAGTAGTGCACAAGGGATTGGTGTCCCCAGAGAGCACGATCATATTTGAACTAAGATAAAGCTTTCCCTCACTTTTCTGCAGACTCGCAATAGACTATGAACGAGTGATACTGGGGAAATTCACAGCACACGTGACATCGAGGCAAACACTATCGGTTCGGCCATCGTCCTCGTTTTGCTTCTGTGGAGTTATTTCTATTGTTGATGGGGAAAGAGTCACTATAAGAGTTCACGTGTGTGCGATGCTCTCTCCCGGCCGAGATCCGATTGCGGGTGATCACAGCTCTGCAGCCTGTCCACTGCCAGAATTCCTGGCTGACATCCACGCAATTGAAAATTATGATGATTACAGACGGATACAGAAAATGAAGAAAAAATAAAACGTTTCATATGCTTACATGCATACCGAAGCATAAAAACATTCAAATTAAACTTTAAAATGCAGCCAAAGACACATACTGGCCTAATAGTCACATGGTTATCAGAATGCTGCCATACACTTGATGAGGTCCATACTGACTGTAACTGTTGACATAGTACAGCACTGTCTTGCTTAAGCTCTTCATAGCATGTGCCCCAGCCTTGTAGACCCACAAATGATCAGTGCTCTTTGATTTTCATTGCGACTGCCAAGCCCCCACCCAAAAAAGCGATCAAGCACGCGTCGCTCGTCAACATGACTAGGATCGGCTTGGATGAAGACACAGATCTGTATTTACTACAGCTAATAATCATAAGCTATAAAAAAATAGAATCGCGCATTTTTTCTTCTCAGCTAAAGGCGAAAGCATTCGTGGTTTACAATTCTTTGCTCCGATATTTGGGGGGGGGGATTATTTTTAGATGTTGGTGCGCAGTGTAACCCTTCTCCTGCAAAAACAGCGCCCTCTAGTGATCGGTCACCTATACAGACGGTATACGCCGCCGAGAACAGTAAATTCTCCCATCTGTCCAGCAGCGCTGCCTCCTGACCACAACCCCGGCCCCGTGCACACAGAAAGGCTTCTTCTGGACTTGAACAGGCATTTGTCACGAATCAAACGTTCAAATGTCTACAAGAAGATACTGTACTTGTACCTGTACGAAATGGTACCAAAATCAAACTCTTAAATATTTAGAACAAACTTAATTTTCTGCGCAGACCCGTGTAAATAACAAGCTCCTATACTTTGTCAACAGATATAGTATAAGACGTCTGATTTTGGCTAATTACAGTGAGTTGGGTGGTATCTCTCACAGTTTTGTTACGGAGGGAGAGACTTCAGACATTCCCGAGCATGTTTTAGTCAACAGCAGTTAATGCAAGTATTGTAATCCTGAAAAAAAAAAAAAATGTTGTACAAAGCACACACAGATCTTCCACCTCGTCAAAATGCAGTCAGTCAAAATACAAATCCTTTTTTAAGAGTACATCTGAGCACTTAGAATGACAGGCAATGACTTAAATAAAGTTTAAATGGGCATCCAGCTGTTCTCTCGGCCCTTTCCAGGCCAATGCAATCGTTGGTAGGCTTCACCAGCCTACAAAACACTGGACCAGAAACCGAAACGAGCCTTTTGTACTGAAAAGGCAACACTGTCCCCTCCAAGGTCTGACACACAGCAGGATTCTGCCATACTGGGTCCTATATGGTCCTCGGAGCAGACATTTTGCAGAAAACCCAATGCTTTTGCAAACCACACAAAAAGCTCACCTTTCGCCCCCCGCTGTAAGGAATGTGAGCGTCACACATCTCAGCCGCACGCCAGCTTACCTCTTCCGGAGCATGATGGCGCTCGGGCCGCCCTCCAGGCTCTCCAGAGTGAGACGAGGCAGCTCGAAGGGCACCAGCTTCTTCACGACTGAACCGGGAGGCAGATTGGCGAAATGAGCGAGATGGGCCCGTAGAAAATACCCGACCCAGCGGTTCTTCCAACTCCTGGCCCGGGGGGGGGGTGGCGCGCTCCGCTGGCGCTCGCTCCAGACGACCTCCGCGTCGCAGGTGCGAGTCGACGCGTGGGGCGGCTCTGCTCGCTGCCCGTGCAATACCACTTTGGCGGACGTTACTCCCGACTTCAGCTCACGGAGCGTCGTGCCGTCTCCCCGCAACGTGCTCCTTCAGACTTTGCTTCGTTATTTCCGATTTTTTTTAAAAAAACGTGATCAATTCGTGGTGGGAGGACAGCGGTGGGAACGCTGTGCTTGGCTTCTCCCGCCATTTCAGTCCAACGGGTTCAATTCCAGCCAGCGCACACAAACAAGGGGAGGTCTGGGGCTCCAGCACAGGGCTGATAGCTACAACCCCCCACAAAATGGTTTAAATGTTTGAAAGCACACCTACAGCCGAGAGCTGAAATGAATTTGCCAGTGATCAAGAATGTGGCTGGACTGGAGAAAACCCGAGAAGAATGCAGCGCCCCCCACAGGACCAGGATGGAGAACCACTGGTGAAGAGGAATATAGAAGATACCTTTCATCCTGCACAAAGCAGCATACAGAGAGACTCAAATATTCGAGATCCTGTGAAAACGACAATTTCAGCTCAGAGGGCTTCAAGATCAGCAGGGAGATACAAACCAGCAGCCCCGACTGCAGACCACTGGGAAATTCGTCTAAGACTGAGAACAGGAGGCACTTACACAGACGCCTGGTGTCTAAGCTACCCCACTCAGTCCAACAGCCTCTCCCAGCTGTTTTCAACTAAGTCAACTGGATGCGACTAGAAAATCCTACGCCATTTTAAAGCCTGATCTAGCAGTTTTGTCTTCGTACCAGTTTTTTCCAACACACTTTGACTTGATGTGTTGATTCCTGTGAAAAGATGGCACTCCTACTTGGCCCTCTCAGCATATCTGTACTTTGAGACAGATGTACTACACAGAAGCTAAGTGAGCTTGGAATACAAAAACCGTGGAGCAGCTAAATTATTTCTCCGGGGAGAAAAAGAGGCATAAAACCCACTAAACCTCAGGCTTAGTAGAGGACAACATTGTTGTCAGGGCTCTACAACGCTCATTCATATTCTGCACAATTTATCACTGAGTGTTTGACACTGTTATCAAACTGGATATGTCAACTTGTTTCTTAGGTATAATGCCATACATGATCAGCTTACCAGACAGTGTTTCATTGCCTTTCACTTGGACGAGGAACAGACCGAAATACCCCATCAGATCTCTGGGCAGTCCCATCTTGTCTGACACGATCTGCCAGAGAATTCAGACACAGCTTCACGCTTCAGACAGTGAAGTATCTACAGATCAGCTAGCTCTGGCAAACAAACCTAGAGTATATGCAGGAGCAGACTTCAAATAAACCAAAAGGCGGATTAAGTTGCAGCGATGAAGCACACGCTTAATGGAGATTTTTCAACAGCAACGACCGAAATGTTTTACGGATTTTATTTTAAACGCACATGAAAAACTGCGCTTTATGGACATTCCAGGAAGGAAACCTTGTTACTCAGAACGGATTTGAACCAAAGATGCAAGAATTAGCTGTTCTAACCATTGGATAATTTAGGGTGCGTCGTTTTTGAAGCCCATATTTATATTGACATGAGAGAAAGAAGAATATTGAGAGCCGTTCACACTCGAGTGGAAGGGGACAGTGTGCAAAGAAAAATATCAGCTGGTGAGATAATTAAATGCTTATGCCACCACAATAGGGGATTTGAAGAGCAAAACTGCAAGACCTGGGGGCTACTATATTAGCAGATGACTATAATCGAGTTAGAATAACAGAAACATGACTAACAGATTTTCTTTCCTCACGCAGACTGGGAAAAACCAAAAGAAATTTCAGCTGCCGAAATTAAAACGCTCAACATTGCAAACAACTGCCTCCTTATTCAGTATGTCAGAGCACCTCCAAGAAGAAACACCCCAAGTGGTCTGCTGGCGTCAAACTAGACCACGTCTAGAGCCCGTCCTTCTTAAGACAGCTGCTCCATCACCCTGCAACTCACAGCTGGCAGCCCACTGGAGCTCAGCAGGTGTGAGCCTGGTCAGGACCTGGATGGGAGACCTCCTGGGAAAAACTAAGGCTGATGCTGGAAGAGGTGTTAGTGGTACCAGCAGGGGGCGCTCACCCTGTGGGCTGTGTGAGTCCTCATGCCCCAGTATAGTGACGGGGACACTATTCTGTAAAAAGGCACTATCCTTGAGATGAGAAGTAAAAACAAGGTGGATTTAAAAATCCCAGGGCGTTTCTTGAAAAGAGTAGGGGTGTGATCCCGGCATCCTGGGCAAGTTTCTCCTGGCCTTTACCCATCATTGCCTCCTAATAACCCCCCATCTATGAACTGGCTTCATCACACTCATAGCTGGTGTGGGGAGTGTTCTGGTGCACTATGGTGATGCTGCATCATCCAGGTGGGGGCTGCACATTGGTGGTGGTGGTGGTGGAGGGGAGTTCCCATTACTTGTGGAGAGCTTTGAGCAAGGATATGCAAGTGTAAGGATTATTATTACTGTCTTTTCAAACAATCCAGAAACAGAACAAACCATTAGGGAACTGTGAGCATTTGACATATGCAACCAAGTAAAGCTAATTTGTTTTAAATCTGAGCACATTCTTAGTCAATTTTCTTTAATGTTTTCAGCGGTATATGGGGCAGAAAATCCAAACAGATTTGACACTCAGACATGAAGTCTAAACGAATTGCAGCAATCTCCACAGGGAAGGCAGCACACAGACATTGGAATCTACAGCACGTTTTTTTCTCAGCTGGCAACAAAACCTCATACAATATCTCCTGTTTAGATCAATGTGATCATGACTCGTATAAGTACGTTATGATGCTGATGACCAGATGACAAACTCAAGACCTCTGATGACCAGTGGGTAGAGTTGCCAGATTTGAGAGTTACCCTGAATTTAAATCCCCGTTAGGTCAGCTCAGTGTTAAAAAAAGACCTGCTGATCAGTTTCACACAACAGGAAGAGAAAAGAATGGGATTTGTTCTCTTCGAAACGTGTGTTGTTTTTATGAAATTCGTGTATTTTAAACGTTTAATTAAGAAGTAAAAACCTTACAGCGTACACAGAGATTTTGAGCTGATCACGAGGAAGAACAAGCACCCGTTTTTGCGGGATAAAAAGGGGTTATTAACTATTGAAGCCTGTTTTTATGGCTTTTAAAGTTGTGCAATGTCTAAGCAGGAACACATCATTATATTTCATTTTTGACTTCTTTTTAAAAAAAAATAAAAATCGTTTGCCCAGCTCAGTGTTAGTAGGTATCCTGTTACCCACGGATCAATCAGCTACTTGCTACCAAATGGGCCAGGTGATCTAACTGACCTCCTATCACTTGTAACAATGTTTATGTCCTTATCAGCACCACACTAAGTTTAAACGGGTGCGATTTTACAAAAGTATTTTAACAGAACTTTCTTCCTGTTCAGTATATGTTGGTCGTGAGAAATGAGAAAAAAACAGAATCTGAGTTTCAGCCAGACCTTTCATGTTACAAGTGGTTCTGAACGACATGGGGAGAACTGACTTCACAGACACGTTTCCCCCTCGGCACTGCTGCCAAGAAACACACATCTCCCAGAAGGCTCTGTAAATAACTGTCATCCTGAACAAATCCAGGCACGTCTGCGGAGCTAACAACTGTAACTCAAGCACTTGAACACGAGACAGACTCCAGATCCCTCCCCGAGGTTATTTTATGCTTCCGAGATTCCAACATTATACCTACTGCACATGAATATTTTATTTTCGGCGGGGCTCAGTGAGAAACGCATTCAAGAATTACAAGGGAGTAAACCGACTGTTTCTGCGAGATTTTGAGAGGTCTCAAATTACCCTCCAAGACACATTTCCATCAGATTATTCCATGACATTGTTTGAGATTGATCCTCACAACAAACGCTCGAATTGCTATTCGGTTTAATGTTCCTTGACTTTTAATACGTTTGCCTTTTCTTTTTTAAATATTAACATTCACCAGCCGAGCTAGTGCACTAAAACCTGTTGGCTCCTTTGTTCATCACATTTGCAGTATTTGCCCAGACTCTTCCAAAGGCCAGGAAATTAAATCATGCTGCCGGTATGCCAGGATTAGTCATGAGATTTTTTTTCCCCCAGTACGGGTGCTCATACGAGGGCCGCATCGATGGCGTGAAGCCCTGGGTTCAAGTCCTGGGGTTCTGTCTGTGTTTAGTTTTACGTTTTCGCCATGCGCTTCTCCTCTGGGTGCTCAGGTTTCCTCCTCCAGTCCATAGAGGTACTGATAGGTTAACTGGCCTCTGGGAAAAGTGGCTCTGGCGTGCGTGTCTGTGTGCCCTGCGACAGACAGGTGTCCTGTCCAGGGTGTACCCTGCCTTGTGTCTACTGCGTGGCCAGAATAAGCTTCAGCTCCCCCACGATCCTCAATAGGATAAAGCAGCTAGAAAATGAATGCATGGATGGGAGCTCATATTTTCTGATGGTAGTGTAGACATCAGAATACTGATGGACTACTTAGGCACTTTTGAAAGTCTTTGCTTTGAGAGTTTTACCTCAGCTGCGGTCGGTAGTGGAGGCAATTTAGTATCGCAAATAAACCTTCACAAAGTGACCTGTGTGTTTTCTTCGCAAACTCGTCTAACCAGTTCACCCAGGATCAGAGCCAGATCCAGCAGTGCTGATCGTGGTACAAGTCCTGTACAGTATCCAGAGGGAAAATACTCTTCCAAAGGGGCCTCTTTCACACACCTGTGCTTATGCTTAACACAGCAACTTGTATTCAGTAAAGCTCCGAAACACCATCAAATCCCCCAAAGATAACGTCTCAAACATCCACCGCACTGTAGTTTTGATACAGAGCACAACTCTTCAAAAAAAGAACAAAAAAAAGTAACGAAAAAAATCAAACCACAAATCTATGACCCAGGTGGGCTTGTACCTCCATCAGAGTGTGGGCTGTGTCTGAAATCCGGATTTCCACTCCGATTTTCCTTCCGTCTGGAAGAATGACATCCTGCACAACACTGCGCTCAGGGATCCTGAAGGTCCCCTGGGGAAAACGAGCAGGACATTCAGCTCAATGCGCTCCAAGCTGGGTCCGAGACGAACACAGAACCATAGCCACACGCATTTCAGCTGAGGCCCTGTGCAGTGCACCCCAATAGGCACAACCAGAGAACCCCGATAGAGGGCAGGAGGCGCCCAGATCTCAGCTGAAAGAACTTTGCCAGCAGGAGTGTAGGAGCCAAGGCCAAACCTACATACAGCCCTAACATGGGACCAAGCAGAACCCCAGATACACACGTAATAACGGTGCCCTATCTCTCACTCTAAAGGTACAGTGATCCAAATCATCAAAAATTAAACCTGACACAGAGTTTCAGACTGAAACACCATTCAGATTGTTTTTTGTTTACATTTAGCTGTCTCCGTTAATCCCAAGCTGTGATTTCTCCTTTATCATGTCCGGGCTTGATCATGCAACCTCTCCTTTCTCTTGAACTTCTGCACAGTCTCACAAGCAAACCACTGAACAGTGTGAACCTGAATTAGAACTGGATGTGCTGGCTCTTGCGGTCACAGAAATAAGAAGTACACCTGCTTCTGAAGGGCAGAAACAGACTGTTCTGGGCAAACGGAGAGTGGTGAAGGCGGCGGCGGCGGGCACATTTTACCTGTTGCATTTTTCTGAAGAACGAGCAAAAAATGCCAGACGTCGCAATGCTGGAGATTTCAGCCACTGAAAGAAGAAAAGACATTTCTACCAAATAAAACAGCCCCTCCCAAATCACCGCCATTATGCAAAATTCCTGTTTTTGTTGTATTAGAGTGTTAAATTGATCTCAACGGGCACCTGAAATCTACGGGAAGATACCTTCCTCACAAGTGAAAATGTCTGCTGGGATGTGAATGAAAAGTGACTTCGTTCTTGCTGCACGAGCTTCTAGACCTTGTAGCAGTCACCTAGGGTCAACACACTGACATCTAGCAGTACAGTCTGCGTCTTTGTGTCTATCATGCACAAGCGCCAAGCGCTTGAATAATGGCAACAGTATAACCACACAGTCTATTATCTCTACACACTTGCCGCACTCGTTACCACAAACAGATTCCACCAGGCTGACCTGATGAGGTCAGGGGGAGCTCTGAGCAGGACAGGAGACCCACCTTTCTGGAGGTACTGCTCCAGGAGGTGTCTTCTCTGGTCTTGCATCTTCTCCGTCATGGCCAGGAAATATTTGGGTGGGAAGCCGGGGACGCAGTCCTTGAAAACTCTTCTTAACTACACACACAAAGCCCGGACAGCTCAGTTGTATTTAAAGGCCCCCAGGGACTACGAGCCTCTGGAAAGTGTAGACAACACGGTGGCATCTTCCACCCTTTGACTTGTGACGTGGAACTGGCCACACTCCCCTCTCTGCCCCAGGGGTATTTCCAGCAGCAGGAAAATATACTGCACATCTGCACGCCCTACAGCCAGGCCTGTCCTCAGTCTCCACGAAGCCCTGGTGCACACCTAGCACGGTTTTGCTCAGTCTGGCACGACAAAACCTTCATAGAACGTAACAACCATCGGGGGTATTACGTTCAACAGAACACCGGAGATCACAGTGGTGAAGGACAGGCTCAGGTGATGTCATGCAGCTCCACCACAGGAATACAGATACAGAGGACATGCAACTTTACAAGTGACCCAGCTTCAAATCTCCCTGGATCTGGAATATGGGAATAAGGGAACCAGGAGAAAAAAATCTGCCTACATCGCCCATGCTACCAACACGGTATTCCGTAAGAAACAGCTCGGTTGCTGCCTACTGATGTCCCTATAACCCTTCGTGTATGTACGTCTATCTGTACTTCCCCCTACACCATCCTATTCAAAGCTAATATTAGTACCGCTAACACTGGGAAAGGGACTTCGAAACTGGAAAAATAGAAAGAATAATTCCATTACTGATTGGTTTAATTTAACATGTGAACATTCAACTGTAGTAAACCTCCCCACCTCCATTCAAAATGACATGTTTCTCCAATGCAACTTGCTCTCCTTATCTAACCTCACTACACATAACCGCTGAGGCCCAACTACATCAATTTCTCAGAAGCTTCACCTCCAAACAGCCTGATCTTTATACTTAACTCACAAGTGGCCACCAGTTCCCTTCCCTCCCAACTTCCACAATCAAATCTGCGAGCGCTCTATCCTCTGTTTCTTTGGTTGAATTCTGTATTTGGTACCGTGTGTTTGTTGTGTGCTATGGGTACAACTGGGGGAAAAAAAAGAAAGATTATTGGCTCACACGAGGTATAAGGACCGCAGCACTTCTGTTCAGTTTACATGGAGATATAGAAAGGACCGCACCTGATTTTAAATCCCCCGTTTAATTAATTGTTTTTAACGATGGAGTAAACCGGTTGAGCCGGACGTGAGTGAGATTATGATGCACATTATGTTTTTAGCAATATGTACGGTCTGAAGTACACTGGTGTAGAGCCACTTTCAGGAATGTAGGAAGGAGATGAAAGCGGTTTAAACGCTTCGTTAAGTCGCTATGGTCTGGTGTGCAGATATAACGGTGACTGGTGGTTAATAACGAATTTCGCCGACGTACAACTATTTCTTCGCATTTTCACAAACCTCGTTTTCAACAGAGGAAAGTAAAGGGGTGATTGTATTATCATTTTTACTTCTGTGAATAGTATAACCTGATCGAATCAGTGTCCTTCTGCGCCACTCAGGAGTAGCCGTCCGATACAAACACCCAGACAGCAATACCAAAGACGCCAAACGGATTTAATATTTTGGAAAAGCGAAACATGAATTCCTCACCTCTTCGTTCCATTTGTGCATGTCGCTGTATCTTACTTTACACAAAAGTAGACCCTCCAGGTAAATATTGTACACCTAAACAATAACGACAGTCAGGAAACGAAAGGCATACGAGCTCAGTTTAAGAAAAACTAACACGCAAGAGTCACTGGCAGCCAGCTTAACGTTACACTTACAAAACTAGGGACTGCTACCAACAACACATTAAAAAAGGGCAAAAAAACAGAGTATTTGGCATACCACATAACGTCCACCAAATTTGTCAGTTTTTTCTTCTGTTACGGGTATATTAAAATGCATCCTCGTCTTCCGAAACGAAATGCAAGACTCCGCTCTCCCCCTCCCCGAACCGCACACCACCTGCCACTCGGCTTGCAGTTTCAGGGGTGTGATATTGAGATTTTAGAGCTCCGCCCCATCTGCAGGTAAAGGAGAGACGGCAGCGACGAGTCCTGAGCTGCTCGGGTAGGGCTAAGGAAAGCTTGTGCGCATAGCTGTTCCGCTCAAAGGACGCCGTCCTATTAATAAAACAGCTACCCGTCCTCCGCGTTTGAAGTTCAGACCCGTCCAGGTCAATACAGTCCCCTCCCACACATCACCCGGCGACTATGGTTTATTTTCCATTTCTCTGCATTTGTAAACGCTGGAAAAGCGCTTTGTCTACGGCGGGGTGGGACTCATTTCATCCAACGGCGAAAAGCAGCACCCGCTTGATGCGAGGCGTGACCATTATGCTCCCGGAGCCCCACTGCACACCAGCTGGAATGGGGAGAGGAGAAATTATTTCCCAATTCAGTCGAAATAAGAACTTTTAGGGAGGCCAGATTATGCAAAAGCTTTTTCGGCCACAAACACCCCTCATCTCTCGACAAGCGCCATTAAAATCTTCAGCGACCAACTAGTCGGCTCCTTCTGGGGCAGTGGTTGGAAAATTCTGGTCAAGACCGGCATACAGGTCCGGCAATGACCACTTAAAACAGCGCTTTGGACCTACTTAGAGGTCTCCAGTCCCAGCTTCGTCCGGGCCCAGCCCACGACATGTTGTTCTGTTTCGTCCCTTCAGATATTCAGCGCACGGCCTCAAGCAAAGACAGACAGCAACAAGGATGCTGAGCGGACACCGTCAGGACACTGGAAATGGAGGAGACAGACGTGCATGCATGTCAGAATGCATTATTTCGTGCCGGCTGAAAGAATCACCACTTTCCTGAACATGGTGTCGGTGTGTATCGCTACTAGTCACAAAGCGCCACCTAGTGCACTCGTCCGATTTTTTTTCTCCAAATTTATTTTGGAGATCATTCAAAGCGAAGGAAACGTATTTCTGGCTAGTTTTTTAAACTTTTGCGAATAGGCTGTCGCGACACTAAAATGAATTGTGGGGGGACTTTTGTCTGCATCCTGATCAAGCGAAAACCATCCTTCCCTGCTGCAGGTAAGGGAATACTGTTTTGTCATCAACAGAGACGTCTCCTGCAGGTCTGACGTCCCGGACACCCGTGTTTCTCCTGACGAATCCCAGAGGATAAATTTCCATCTGCCCCTGCTTGTCATTGAAATCAAGTCAGACGCAGAATTTGTCGGTTAAGACAACCGGCAGCTAAAACTTTATAATTGATCTTGAGGCTCTTTTGAAGGCTGTACCACCAG